ACTTTATCCATAATTTGACCACTATTAAAGCAATACAATCGGCTAAAAATCAAATGAGTAAATATAGCATTTTCTCGTTTTCCGAGAGGGTTTATCGTCCGGATTTGTATAACGAGGCTATGCCTTCTATATATGAAGACTTGCCATTTCATCTCCAGATTTAGAGTGAACTCACAACAATGCTGATGACGGGTGGAAATAACGAATATCTTTTTCTCTTTTTACAAGTCTTCACCCTTTATGTTTATCCTATCTAAGCTTCCCTTTTATGGCCTTTAGGAACTAAGGAAAATTATACCCCAGATTATTTCTCAAAGCAAGCTTATTCTTATCGTACTCATTTCATGTAAATTCGTTCGGAGAAGGGATTTTTAGGAAGACGGTTAACGATCGTCTTACGTCCAACTCGTTAGGATTTGCGCTGAGTTCACGTCTGTCTTATGATCTAAGTATGAGTAAATTTGTTTTTCCTTTTCCTCTTCATTTTCTCTAGCCGTCTCTTATCCCTGATGTCTTTGCACGAACTATATTAAGTCACGCCGACCTGCGCTCATTAATCAAGGCCCTGATCACTGGTGTCTGCACCATTGTCACTAAGCTGATTCAATGGCCCAGGGATTTCCATGCGGCAGCAACTACCTTGTCAGGATCAACTTCGTCGCCACTACCGCGCCAGCCTGGCCTTTTGGGCCCCACCGAGTTAGCGTTACTTATAGAGTATCTTCAGTATGGCCTCCGAATGATTGACATCACACAGATTGTAGCTAAGGATAATCAACTTTACTTTCGTGGCACGTAAGTACCGTAATTTGCATCATGTAAACGTATTTATACGCTTGGGAAATATCACTTAACGATAACCCATCCTTTTTCAGCTCTCAATCTGGAGCCAAGCATTTGGATGAGCGCATCCTTATTGAAAGCCTCTCATTGACATTTGCTTCACTCAATCCTATCTCATTCCGGGAAATATTTCTTCCGAAAATTCACGTAAATCCTCGTATTCTTCGTTTTTT